GACGATCCCTTATTTAATTGCGGTTGTATGTGGGTCCTAGAACGAATAGTTGCGATCTGTATTGTCCCGACACTCGTCTAACGTGACATCGATCGAGGGCGTTAAGGCCAGCTACGGCAGCAACAGGGCTTCCACTATGCCCTAACCGCCGAGATTGTGGGAGCGAGAGGGTTTCTTCTACCACCCATGGAGGGCGCTGAGTATTCCTAAAGGAAGAACTGAGTAACCTTTTCTATCGTGAACTCTGCCTTTAAAATGACTTTCAATCAAATGAATGGATAAGCAACCATTCACTATATACACTCGATGCACCACGCTAATGAAGTTCTGCTCGGCATTCTTGACGAATTCTGTAAAGTTCAACACAATCCTTCCCAACTAGAAGTGTTACCGGTCTGCATTTACCAAATGCACAGATGCACGAGAGCAACCTGATAGTCTGCTTTTCGGTGGTGAGTGGTTGATGGTGGCAAAAGGAAAAATACCCATTTCCTTGCTAAAGGGGCGATTTGAATCTGAGCTAGGAGTTTTGTAAGGGAAATACACACTCCAATTCAGCAGAGCTTCCTAGAGGAAGACGGGCTGACCAGAAATGAACACCATCAATTTTTAGAATTGCAGAATAGGTCGCGGTTGATGCTGACATGTAGTAGAGGTCTGAAGGGAAGAGATCAGAGTTGGTGGTTCAGCAAAGCAAAGCGGCCCTGACAAGCCATCGGTAATTTCAGGCGCCGCCTTCTTTCCGGTCGACACATGCCCGTATTTGGTTACAGATGTGTTCACGTCGAGGAGATCGTGTTGCTGTACTCAAACCTGCTGCTTCTTAATGGATTTTCTCGTTCTCAGGAATGAACGAGAAAAATTGATGTCGACTTTCACCACAATAGGAGTACTTATGGAGACAAACGTGTCCGATTGAAGGCTTTTGGGGGCCAAATAATTTCAGGCGATCAGTGCGAGATATCAAAAACGCCGCTCCGTCCATCTCTCAGATCGTTTTACGAACAAGTTAAGGGCGAGTTTTCTCTTGCGGACACTGTTTTTGTTCAAGCGTAGGACATGATCGTACCATTGAAGACGATCTTTATTTCATCAGGGGCAATCTGAAATACTCTCAGATTGCATTGTTGCGAAGATGATTCAGACGCGTGACCCCTTTCGTCCATTGCAGCACTTATTTTGACCCAAGGCGTGTTTTAAACTTCCTCATCACAGGCCGCGACGCAAATCCCGACGAGCCGCTCTTATATCCTACATATTTTTGTACTGAAACGCTCTTGTAACCCTTGTCGACGAGAGCGCCAGCCAACGAACGCCATTCAGACCATGCGGAGCGAGGCATAGATAGAAGATAGGCATAGAGAGATTGAAGATAGATAAACGCAAAGCTCGGTGGCTGCTTTCATAGTCCGCCGGCCGGGGACTAATCGGCCGGCGGTATCGACCAAGATTCAATTGTGAACAAGGGGCAAGCGCTGCGCCGTCCCGGCCGGGGCGCTCGCGCGTTCGGGGCCTGCCGGCGGACTATGAAGGCAGCCAGTTAGAAAAGCTGAAAGTGCCCCCTTCAATTAACTTTGTGATCATGTATTTGGTCTTTTTGATATTTAATCGAAGTCTGAACTGGGTTGGATTTGTGTAGTGTATGCGCACCCTTTCAATACGTTCTTCAGGAACCTCACGCTGTCGTAAGAAGTACCGCATCGGGAGCCTCTTTTTAGGCCTAGAAAAGTCATGTGCACTANCACCAACTATCATCTTGATTGTATCCAGGAACCAGTTTTATAAGACTTTTTTTTATAAAACCAGTTACTTAGATGATAATTAGGTTCTTATCAACTTACGTTTCGGCTTTATCGCCTTCTTCAGAGTTTTGGAAACCTCCACCAACNATTAAAGTCTTGAATGGAACTCACAAATGTTGTCGAGTGATAACGCCCACCTTATTAGATTTGGTTATCAGCAAACTTTTATTCGCTGCGGATTTATCACTAATTGGGAACCCCAGATCATTGGCGGTCGGAGGAGTTTGGTCACAAAAGATATCGAAACAAAAAGAAACCATGATGTATCCTTGAATCAGAAACCTTGCTGGATAGGCTTCAGGAACTCACGCTGTCGTAAGAAGTACCGCATCGGGAGCCTCTTTAGGCCTAGAAAAGCCATGTGCACTACTTTCCATTTTTCACGATGGTTTCCTAGTAGTAGCCGAGTGGCATGTATTGTATCGGTGGTGTTGCATCAGAAATAAAATCACACTAGTTGATGGCTGGACGAGTTCTACATGAATCCGATCATCTACATTTCGTTCAGAAGCCCTCACACCATGCGAGAGCAGGCAAAACGGGAGAGTTGTAGTTGTAGGGGGAGGCCACCCATCCAAAGTTTAGTATATCAAGAAATGAACTCAGTCCAACGTGCTGGTCCTTGCTATATTAGCACTTTACCAGACGTGAAGGGGATGATGGGTACCGGCCACCTGTGCTCTTTTAGCGGTTTCAGCCTAGGAAATGTAGTTTTTCGGGGTACGGTAGGAACACCTGGGGTGGTGGGATGATAATCTCGAGAAAGAAAGAAAGAAAGATTACTTGCCTACCGCAATGTTCCTTCACTCCTTAAGCTTAGTTTAAAACAGGCATGTCCCTGATGTAACAAGGCATAACACTTTTCTTTTAGTTCATTCCTTGTTATAGTAACATTGTGATAGGTAACCTCACCAAACTACATTTCCACCAACTATCATCTTGATTGTATCCAGGAACCAGTTTAATAAGACTTTTTTTATAAAACCAGTTACTTAGATGATAATTAGGTCCTTATCAACTTACGTTTCGGCGTTATCGCCTTCTTCAGAGTTTTGGAAACCTCCACCAACAACCGGTCGTTTGGACGACCGCCACTAAACGGGGGACGGTGCATTCGTGCGATTCGAGCTGCGCGCGGCAAATTGCGCGGCGAAATTCGTAGCGATTCACGACTCTGACGCCTATTATTGGGGCACAAACTAAAGTCGAGTTGATTAGTGAGGCCAGCTGACACTTCTCACCTGCTCTAGTTTGAATTTGGGTCCCAATAATAGGCGCCAGAGTCGTTCAAATCGCCACGAATTTCGCCGTGCAAGTTGCCGCGCGCAGCTGGAATCACACGAATGTGCACACACTCCCATTGAACTAACGGTGTAGCTGGAGCTTTCCAAAACTCTGTAGAAGGCGATAACGCCGTAAAGTAAGTTGATAAGAACCTAATTATCGTTTTATGAAAAGGTCTTATGAAATTAATTCAAAGCCATGCCAGGATTCATTGAGAGTCGAACATGGATACTTATATCCAGGAACCATTGTGTGAAAGTCCTGCGATTAGATTATGAATATGATCGCATTGAATTCGATCGAAAATTAAACTGCCCAAGCTTTTTTGTTCTTTAGCCATACCGAAACCAGTGGTGGAACGGTAGCCTGATCCATCTGAGCATCGATTTGATAAACGTGGATAAATTTTAACTTCGGTTATTTAGAGATCTGCGCTGATAAGTAACAAGATCGTTCAAGGCACGACTTGAGCTTTAGTTCATATACTGTGCCTAACAAGCAGGCAGGACATCCAGAAAAATCTCATTTCAACTCCACTTATTTCCAGATGATCGAGCAGGATGAAAGGATGGACGGGGACGATCCAGTTGATTGGAACAAATTTTTAGTGATCCGAGTGGGACTATGTTCCAATACAATTCTCAAAATAGGCTGAATAGACAGATGAGAGTGCTTCAGGAAAGCTATGTATTAAAACCATTGCAATGGCGAAGTAAGGAACCGCGAAATACCAATGTATAATTTGTGTTTCCACTGACTTTCTTAAAAGGGCTAGAATACAAAAGCGCGTATCATACCATCAAATGGAAGCATGCACAGTTCAGTTTTAAGTGCCCATGCATTTTTTAGCTTTACTCTGTACGAGTGGGCTCAGAGGGCTCAGAATCTAACAGTGAGGATGAGCGTGCAAACGAGATACATGATTCCTATATCGAAATATTTATTATTTATGAAGTGATTGTACTGACGATGGTGATTTTTTCTAAATAATTGCTTGACCTCCCATCTAGTGGCATGTTAGAGGGATACACAGCTCCGTGATGGCTAAGCCTTTCTTCAGAAACATCGACGGCAGCTGTGATTCTTTTTCTCCTTTCAACTGAAGCGAGTCAATATTACAATTATATAATAATATAATAATAATATTGTTAGCTATACAGGATTTCTAGACGTGAGCCTTAAGAGTATCCCCTTAAGGGTTTTTCGTACTGTGCGTTTCTTGTCTTTTCTGGTGTTCAAGTTGTAGCTGGCTTTGTATGTATTTCGAATGGGTAAACAAATAAATAAAAAATGGATGTTCTTTCTCTATATCTTCGAAGCCTATGTTGATGTCGTTTTAGGACATCATTTGCAAAGGTCAGAGGACTTGGCAGGCGATTTCCTCCGAGCTTTGCACTTCGAAATTTAGGGTTCCTCCTTAGAAAACAGGTAAGCCACCAAGGACTCCGCTTNTGTATTTCGAATGGGTAAACAAATAAATAAAAAATGGATGTTCTTTCTCTATATCTTCGAAGCCCATGTTGATGTCGTTTTAGGACATCATTAGCAAAGACCAGAGGACTTGGCAGGCGATTTCCTCCGAGCTTTGCACTTCGAAATTTAGGGTTCCTCCTTAGAAAACAGGTAAGCCACCAAGGACTCCGCTTTCGTGGCTCTACATAATTCAATTTTTCCCAAAACTCCGTAAAACTTTATTCTCCGGGAAAGGCGATTATCATAACTCCGACTGTGTGAATATCAGCAAGGGGATCGCAGGATTACTCATCTTATATGCACATACACCACAAACTCTGTTACCTCAAGAATGATGCTCGTATTGAGTTCTCAACAAGAATGTCCCCACATAAGAGGTTTCACAATTTTCATAACCGAACTTCGCCTTGGTTCCTTTCCCGATTACATTTCCTATGCGCAGAAGCTTTCCATTCTAAGCAGTACCATAAATGGTACTCTACTGCTAGAGATCCTACTGAGCCAATGTTCCATTCTCTCACCAAGAATGCTGAACAAAGAACACGATTGAAGTCGCTAGCTTAGAAAAGTTCAAGGAAACGAGTTGGGCTTGTCTGGGTGAAAGGGACTGTGCCTTTGGACAGGAAATCTTTTAGGCACAGCTTTTCAGCTTTTGACTCTCCGTTATGTATTTCAAAAAAAAACTTACCTCCATCTACTCGGCAAGGTAAAATTTAATAACACTCGGAAACCACTTACAATTGTTGCGCATACGACCATTTTGTCTCGTTTTTTAGGGTGTGGACTGCGAGTAACCTTTATTCGGAAGGTCTCCTTGGGTTCAATGATACCAAACACTGGTCGAAACCTTTGAAAACAAGTGTGAGTAGGTTTATAAGACAAGAGAATACCCTCTGAAGAGAGTGAGCGGCGGTCACTTACAAAAATAATCTGTTGTCTGTGCACTGAACCTTGAAGCCTATTCGGACCGCCATCGCACTTGTGATGCGGAGGCTCTACAAATAGCACCGAACTTGTTTCAAAACAAAAAACTAATTCGAAGTAAGAGGAGATAGTGGTATCTTCACAGGGAATCGAAAAATCGTACTGAGAATGGTTCTCGCAAAACCTTCTATAGAAATTCCCTAGCTGTGAAGGTTTAGATGATATATAACCTTCCTTACTGCAAAGCCCAGAATTTTTCAATGGAATTAACATGTGAGGAAATCAGTGACTCACCTGGTCTCCACCGACTTCGCCGTTGAAGGCCAACTTTACAGCACTGAACTTCAAGCACAACGCTGAAATAGTATATCATTTCAGTGGATTTAGCAAGGAATAAATTTTACATATTCGAAAAACTAAAAGGGTGAAGTCTTCAGACAGAAAACTATGTGAAAAGCGTAATGAAACCTGCCAAAGAACTGTACCTCCTTCGGGAGCGCATGGTGCATGATAAGCTGGGATGTTATTGCCGGCTTCAATTATCTAAACGAAGGTTGCATTTGACAATAGTAGTAGCCGCTCTCCTTGTGTCCCGATCAAGCAGAGGTGTGCGTACATTCGTGCGATTCGAGCTGCGCAAATTGTGCTGCGAAATTCATAGCGATTCTGACGACTTCAGTGCCATTATTGGGGCCCAGATTTGAAGAGAGTTGATCAGTAGGATCAACTGACCATACTAATCCACTCTTCTTCAATTGTGCGCCAATAATAGGCGCCAGAGTCGTTCGAATCGCCACAAATTTTCCCGCGCTATTTGCTGAGCGCAGCTTTAATCGCACGAATGTGCCGCCCCCCATCAAGCGGAGCTTTGTATCAACATACAAAAGGTTAGTGCTGTTTCCCGTCCAGTCAGAGATACTTTGAATTTCTTCGTGTGCGTTTCAAGACGTCGGAGGTTTTTAAAGGTCAAAAACATTTTACACAGCAAATGTCTGGTCAGTACTTGGAATTGATACCACCCACCATTTCGCAGACCATATTCAAATTCCTGCTGCTCTACACAATTTTGCCAACACCTATAACTCCGAAAGTTCGAAAAAGACCGGTTTTGAAAAGGCTTCCGGTGCTGGACTAAATGAATTTCCTATTGAGCTTCTGATGCTTGGAGCGCAGCTGTTTCGGTGGGGTGCGCTTCGTTGCGCGCGTCCGTCAAAACTAGGTCACGCCGCAGTCGTCGCATGCGACGCGTCAGCCCGCGATATTTGACAAACGTCGCTGTTGTCTGTGGGGCATACGACTTGCGCTTGGTCCACAACAGTCAGCCAAAGGGAAGATAACACGGACAAATGCAAATCATTCGCTCCACTGACACTTGGCGGTACTGCAATGTCACGTCAAGACCTTAGGTGGGGTGCGCCCCGCGCATATTGGGCGGGGTGACCTACTTTCGAAGGAAGCGCGCAACGGACGTTCTCCGTTTCAGAGCAGTCCAATGAAAGCACTGACCCTCACTGTTGTTCTGTCAAGAAATTCTGCTAGGCTTTAAAATAAGCGAAGCTCCGTCTACGTAGAGCTGAGGGTGTTGTCGATGGGAAGTGCTTCATACAAGAGTTCATGATAATTCTACAAACGGATCTAGCCGGAACCAAAATAGCGGCAGAAGATGCTACAGAAAGAAGGAAGTAAGCTGACAAGAACATCAGACTCTGCGACAGCGCGCTATTAACGCTAATGATAAGAGGAAGAAGAAGGATTGCTACCTCATTCACTGCAAATTCAAATATATTTCCTCACATTCCAATATACACACCTCCAAACAGCGCCGAACAACGAATCAAACGATGGTAGAGAAAAAGTTTGACCAACTGTGTGATATTGGATGAAAAAGGGAAGCCAAGAGGTACCTGAGTAATAGATATCTTGCTGTTTGGGACAAATGGGCTGTCGAAGAGTTCTTCAAGGTATCTCTCTTCCTTCACAGTCTAGAATGAGTCGTTGAAGAATCAATTCGATTAGATACAAAGAGGATAGGTTGATGTCGCTAGTGCTACCAAGAGATTAACGACTGTCAAAAGGAAAGGTGAAGGAGGTGGAAGAACAAGGAGCTTGACATAGTCAATCTGACTATTGTCAACATCGATAAACTAATTTAACTAATAATCTACCCATTTTACCGTAGGCCGCGACTCAAGTACAATAGGTTCCTTACCGGCACCGCCATCACGATAATTTTGTCTGGTTTAATCGGTGCATGTGTGCGATGAATTTTTACAGTGTATGTTTCTGATGGAAGAACCGAACCCATTGGAGGTGTGATCCTGAATCGGCAGAGTTGAAAAAAGAGTTTTTCTGCTATGAATGTTACCATACCTGTACAATGCATTATCAGAAGATTTGATTTTTATGGCATGAATAGTATCAGTATTGTTATGGATTGTCAATTGCTGAAATAAGTTCGTAGCAGAGGTATCACTGTTGGTTGTTCAAACTCTGCTTCATGATAAGTTAGGTTGCTTACGGTTTCCGTGTTGGTCATAGTTACTCTATGATTACTTCGAGAGCTCGTGACTATCGAATCTAACAAACAACATACATACATACATACATACATACATACATACATACATACATACAGACGCGAGCGCTTTGTATATAGTAAGTAATGTTCGTACCTCATGCTTCCTATACCCGTTTGAACCAGAGTTTATTTTTTGCCTACCGTCCAGATACCGGATGCTTCTTCAGGCCACTGATGGAGGATTACATAACACACTTTTGGAAGCCTACCACGCAGCGAGCAGTATGATCAACAGTATTCCTACAACTACAATTGCACCAATCGCAGCGGGACGCACACGGTGCATGCACGCAGCTTCTGTCAGCAGCTGTACGCAGTGGCACACACATTCAGACAGCTCGTCAAAATACCCAATACATGCAACGCTTGTCGTCAAATTCTCGATCAACCCCTAATTTTACTCTCTTTTTGGTGGTACTACTTCTCTCCAAGCACCTCTATTTTCAAGTTTCCTTCACCTCTATTCTGAACTATCACTTTTGTTACTCGTTCAAGTTCAGATACCCCAAAATTATCCTTAACTCTACCTTAGACCGAAATATTTGCTCGCTGCCTAGCATTTCAACCTTGACTCCACTTGTTCCTCATAATGACTGTTTGAATAGTGACAGTTGGAATTCAAAGTCAAGTTCTTTGTTTGGGACTACTCGACGACTAAACGCTTTCTTTTCAGGTCTTTTAATTCAGCCGAAGTAACTCAGCGTATTATGGGACTTCACAACAAAATGGATGAGTTCCATAAATTGGGTTGTTCTGTTGACTGGAGGTACTCCAATTGGGAGCAGAGGTTGGTAGCTGAAGATTTCCCTGCTCTTCATCTTTTTTAAAACTCTTATCGAAAAAATTTATTTGATTTGACGGGCTGCCATTTCGAAAAGAAGCGGGTACGTCATGCAAGTAGCCCGCTCCTCACTGGAGAATTGTCGAACTATGGAATTATCCTTACTGGCGGCTCAGGTGTAGTCCGCCAATCACCAATAAGGAATTCGTTTTCTAGCTGAGCATCACCACTTATTTTTTTCAATTAATGGCATATTGAGTATGGAAAAAATAAAATGCAACAAAAAAATAAGTCCAGCGAGCATGAATGGTCACTCACTTTTGTACCTCCGTATTTCTTCCAGTAGAAGCAATTCTTTGTCATGAGAAAGCCCTCATCTGGAAATTCAGTAGATCAATCATAACGTAAATCATTCCATATCTACATAGTTACCCTCCACTTTGTATTTTTAGAGCAAGCAACCTACAGGAATCTTTTACGCAATTTCCGAGCTGTTCGTTATAGAACATAACTTTTGTCCTTTACATTCTATGGTTTAACTTCTGCTTCCAAAAGGCTTAAAGTTTCGCATATCATTTTGTTCAAAGGGCAGAAAGGAAGCCGTTAAAAACAGAATATGGCCGTATCAAATCAGCTGATGCGGGCATCTCTACATGTTGATACTTAAAAAAACTTTCGAGCAGTAATAAACAACAGCAGCGCTCTCTCATTTGATGGACATGCCCTCCTGTTCGTCAAATGGCAGCAGCTACGTGGAGCATGTGCGATAAAATGGAAGGGTTGCCATGCAAGTGAAATGGACTCATCTTCTTCACAGTTCCAATTTTTGTAGTGAATGTTAAATCGACCGATAATCAAGTTGACCACGCGTTAAGGTTGAGGCGAATTGAGTCGACATCGGTTCAGTTTTTCGGTTTCCCGTGATTGTCAGAGCTTTCAGTGCAGAATAGTTGTCATGATTGTTAATGTTCAATAACACTTGCTCAAATCGGTTTCCTCTATGTTGGTTAGCTTGTTCCAGCTCGTGTAATGCTGCAGGAGCCGAACGTATTTAGCAGGAACGATTTCTCCGTTTTCGGGCGGTAAACGCCTTCTGTAGATCATTGTCGAGCCCTCTTATTCCTCAGCTTGTTCTACCCTGTCCTGTTACCAGAAAAAAAGTGCTATAGGGATTCATTCTCATAATTTGGCACGCCCTTTACCGAAACTTACGCAACTATTCCGTAAAGGACGGAAGTGGTGATCCTATTCAGCCTCCTGATGATAACGTAGATGGAACAACCTCATGAGTTTTTTAGGATCTTACAGAGAACAATGAATAATTGCTTCAAAATGAATGAAATATTTGTCCAGGTAATATTGACATTGCTTCTGCCGTTCAGGTAGAATGGCCATCGTCTTTCACCTTTCGATGGCCGAGAAATGTGCGATTTTGCATTGCAAATTGCGCTCCATTATTGGCGAATATCGTTAGCGGAATTAATAGAAATAGGGAGGGTTGTTAATTTTTAGTTTCGTTCATCTTATCATCTTGAAAATGCTGCTTCCCATTTCATCTTCACGGAAAGGGTATTAGTAGTAATGAGTGGATAGACCTTCTTGTGCTTTGTCTTCACTGTGAAAAAAATGTGCTTCTTCAAACCCTTGAAGTCAATATCGTGCGTGCTCGTTGATTGTCCATCGACTATTATATCTTCTTGCACCATGAATCATGTCCTCGATCCAGTAGTGTAAGAGCAGTGTGCTCCTACAGCAGTGAAGAAGTGCTTCAAAAATTGAAAACCATTTTTATTCAGAAATCTTTGCCGCAGCATGATGAACCATTCCATTCCTTTTTATCTATAGTGCAGGAGGCTGTCCAGCATCTCATCATCTCATATTTGATCTCTGGTATTCACGAACATCCCTTTTCGGGTTAGAAAAGGGCAGTACTATGCTTTATTCAGCAATTGTTATCTATTGGCCAGGGAGAACTGCAGTCAGCCAGTGGGAGATTCAAAGCTAATTTGCAAGCATATATTTTATAAAAATGCGAAATGTCCACGTACACAGGATGGAAACCCCCATGCCACGTGT